CCTATACACCTCAGAATTCATCCTGCTACTTCTGTCAGCAGTCACATCATCAATAAACACCAGTGAGCCCGTTCCATTGGCAGCCATACATGCCCATGCCATAACACTGCCTCCACCATGTTTGACACATGATGTGGTATACTTTGAATCATGAGCTGTTCCTTTCTTTCACCATACTTTTCTCTTCCCATCATTCTGGTACAAGTTAATCTTTGTTTCATCAGTCTTTATGACTTTGTTGATGGACTCAGCATGTGCACTATGTGAGGTTCATAGAACCACAGTAACATACATTTACTGACAGAATTTACTGTCTTCTTCATTTGGCTACATTCAAATTATCACAATATCACCTCTACTGCTATACAGGAGGAAAACTCTTTGCATGTTAAAAGCAGCAATTTATCATCCAGGAAGGATATCGGCCAAACAATGATCATAAACTTTCCAGCTCTTCTGTGTGGTTAAAGATTGGTGAATAAGGTGGGAGGAAATGTGACTGTCATTGAATGGACAGAAAATCAGTGCAGTACTGCAAGGGGAACGCTGTGAAACACTGTGTAAACTAATGCAGCTACAAATGATCTACATGTTTGGCCTGTTTCTTTACCTCAAGCGTTTAGCCCTCTAGAGAAGTCATATGAAAATTAAAAACAATATTTTATATTGTACAGTCCAATTTAGGATATGTGTTTCAGCAGTCAAGCATACAAAAGGCTGCACATACAGTGAGCTTACTGTTGCCCTGTCTCTTAGTCTCTAGAACAATTACATTTTGATTGTTGTCCAGTATAGTATTTATTCCTCATCTAACTTGTATCTAATTTCTCTCAGCATCCAAACTCCAATCCTTTATGGTTTGAACTTGAGTGTAATCAGTTTTGAAACGTATGCAAACACCAAATTGGACTAGACAAATAAATAGTTTTGACGATGATAGAGCTAGGCCAAGAAACATACACAAAAATTCTGAAAGCCGTATTCACTGAGTTCATTTGTTGGTCAAAGAGATGAAAAACACATGTACAATCTGGTCCATAAACAGCACCGTTGTGCTGCGTGAATCAGTTTGAAAACGTCAACTTGATACTGAAGAATGCCTGTTAAAAAAGACAAATGTACTGTGCTGTCTTACTAGAATGTGTTGAATGTTGTGAGACCTTTAAAATTTCTAGTGAGGTGTGGTGTTCCATTTATCAAGTATCAAGTTTGTATTCATTTTAAAAATATAATATGATAAAAGGTTTCATGATATACAAATTCAATACTGGCAAAAGCAAACTGGTGTATTCACAAAACCTGATAGGACAATCTCTCTAAACATGACCTTAGATAGCTCCTAATGTTACTTTAAAACAACCAACTAATACATAATTTATAATTTACATGCAATTGGTGTCACAAGGCTCAGTACTTGGTCCTCTCCTGTTCTCCCTCTATACTCTCTCTTGGTGCGGTCATGTCCTCACATGGGTTTTCATACCACTGCTATGCAGATGACACTCAACTCATCCTCTCCTTCCCTTCCTCAGGCACTCATGTTTCTGCTCGGATATCAGCATGTCTGGCAGATATCTCATCATGGATGACAGCTCATCAGCTGAAACTTAATCCCACCAAAACTGAACTGCTGTTCATCCCAGCTGATTCATCCCCATGTCAGGATCTTGCAATCTCCCTGGACAATTCTCTGATCTCGCCTTCGGTTACTGCACATAACCTTGGGGTAACCATGGACAATCAACTGTCCTTCTCCTCTCACATTGCTACTCTGACACGCTCAATTCGATTTCTCCTTTATAACATCAGAAGAATTTGTCCATTTATTTCCACACATGCACTTGTTCAGTCCCTTGTCATTTCAAAACTTGACTACTGCAACTCACTCCTGGCAGGTCAGCCTCTGAGCACCATATCTCAAAGCACTTACATTTATACATTTACATTTATAGCATTTGGCAGACGCCCTTATCCAGAGCGACTTACATTTATCTTATTTATACAACTGAGCAGTTGAGGGTTAAGGGCCTTGCTCAAGGGCCCACCAGTTGCAGCTTGGCGGTGCTGGGGATTGAACTCATGACCTTCCGATCAGTAGCCCAACGTCCTAACCACTGAACTACCACTGCCCCTACCCTACCCCTACCACTTATCACACCTTGCGTGGCACCACGCTCCCTTCGATCCTCTAGCACTGCTCGACTGATCCCACCATCTCTCAGGGTACAAGGAAGGCCTGCATCGAGACTCTTCTCTGTTCTGGCACCAAGGTGGTGAATGAACTTCCCCTAGATGTCCGAACAGCTGAGTCACTGGCAGTCTTCAAATGACGTCTAAAGACTTACCTCTTCATTAAGTACTTAAGTTAGCACTTACACACACACAAAAAAAACCCTCCCTAACAGAGTTTTGGACTGATGGTATTCCTAGTTTGTAACCTAGTGAGCCAATATCAGAATGTATTTTTGATAGACTTCAAAGCACTACTGTAAGTCGCTCTGGATAAGGGCATCTGCCAAATGCCATAAATGTAAATGTGTTACTATTTGCAGGGATTTATGAGCTAGTTATTAAACAATCCAAATAAAATAAGGTTTGATTTTAATTAGAGACAAATTCAGAACCACCTAAGCATGTGTGATGATAATGAGATCAATTCACCAGATTAAGCATTATTGTTCTACAGTGTCCACCAAAATAAACAGTACTCTCAGTAATGAGATGCGAACTATGCATTTGTTGTTAATATTCCACTAAACAATTAAAAAATCTAACATTTAATATTTTACCCTCAATATTTCTGAAGCAGTGTTTAAAGGTGAGCCAAGTTATTCCTCTTCAGTAACGCTTTATCCTGATCAGGGTCATGGTAGCATTATAACTTTTTGCATTATGATACTATCATTTTATTGGTCCCTGAAGGACTAGTGGTTAGGCCTTGGCACCCTCACCGCCACGGCCTGGGTTCAATTCCGGACCGGGGAACCAACCCCAGCCACTTCAAGTGCCAGTCCCAAGCCTGGATAAAACCGGGGAGGGTTGCATCAGGAATGGCATCCAGCATAAAAACTTTGCCAAATCAAATATGCGGACCAATGATCCATCTGTGGTGACCCCTAACAGGAGCAGCCGAAAGAACAACATACATTTCATTATCGCTCATTATTGTAGACTCTGCCAGTGAATTTGAACCAATATTTGTACTAAAAATAAAAAAAAATAAAAAATATTTAAATAAAAACAAGCAATATATGATGGGAAAAGCACTTTTGTATTCAGTGCCCCTATTTCAGGAAATAATATTTAATTCCTTACAAAACATATAACCGCACTGCAGATGCAAAATCTTTCTTTTTTGACAGAAGGAAGTGAATGGAAGGTTCTAAGTTCATATCCCAGGACTGTAAGAAAGTGCTGGGTCCTTGAGTCAGACTGATCAGCCAAAATCTGCTCAGTTTTGTGCTTGAATTGAATCTTGTTTGTTGTCACTTTGGACAAAAGCACTCACTCACTTTCAGTATCCTCTTTATCCCAATCAGGGTCACAATGGATCTGGAGCTTATCCCAGGAACACTGCGCGTAAGGCAGGAATACACAGGGAAGACATGGGGAGATCAGGCACAAAAACCCCTGCAGACAGTAACCTGAGCTCAGGATGCAATCCAGGACGCTGGAGCTGTAAGTCAGCAGCACTATCTGCTGCACCACCATGCCTCCTTGGATAAAAGCATCTGACAAATAAATATTTGTAAAATCTAGCAATCTCTAAGTCAGTCACTTTGAAAATACTAGTTTCGATTAAGCAAAAGAGAACACATCAAGACTTGGTATGACTGACATTGGCACTTGTTTTATTACACTGACAGCCAACATGGCATGAGAAGTGCTTCAGCACTGAGAAACCCTAAAGCTCCAAGCAGGACCTGTCAATATTTGGTCCCACAATTACAAAGGGAAGGCATTTGTGGCCTAGTTTTGGCAGTTCGTGAATAGGATTAATTAAAGATTTAGTAAGTCTAACCACAAACTATGTCTACATCCTGCTACATATTTTTCTGCCAAACTGGACTCAGTTTTATATTATAAAAGTGAACTAGTTCCTACTGAACACTGTTGTCTCACATGTGCATCAAGTCTTCATTAATCCAACATATAAAATTAGCTTGATTAGCCCATGTGCTTTTCTTGCTGAATATAAGTGAATATGAGAATATAAGTGCACAAATTCTATTAACAATAACATGCAGTGATGCAGCTATTGTAAGCAATCATTTTACACAGTTCTGCTAATTCCCTGATCTGGACTATCCTGGAAAGACTTTTCCCTCTTCTATGCAACAACATGTGCTTATTCCAACATCATATACATACTCACCGGCCACTTTAATAGGAATAACTGTGCCCCTACTCATTCGTCCAATTATCCAGTAAGCCAATCATGCGTCAGCATTGCAATGCATAAAAGCATTAAAAAAGGAAAAAGAATTCATTTTTCATTCACAAATTCTTACAAATAGCAATGTGCAGAACATAACTTTATTCAACTCCTGAATTACGCACCCTGTAGAAGCTTTCTAATGAGTTTCTATCTTCTATCTAATGTGGCTGAGTAAGCAAGCTGTTTCAAAACAGTGACCTCTTTCCCAATCATGAAACTGTTATTTACATTTAACAATAGTAGCCATCTAATAATATTTTATCAAATTTATTTCCAGTTTGGGGTTGGGTGAAATATGAATAGTGGAGCTTCTATTAGTCCCACGTAAATGAACTACTAGGTCCGGGGAGCAGGGTTGTCAGGTTCCTTGTATAATGGCTGTGTATTTCAAATCAGAAATCCACATCACTGTTAACTTGCTTCCCATGAAAAGACTGAGAAAAAGAAATGAAAAGTATCTAACTTTTCCCTATGCCAGTCACAGTCCCAATGCATACACCTAGTCTAAAGCAATTTGGCAAGCTTTCTTAAAAACAAAACCAAAAAAAAAAAAAGAAAATACTCTGTCTACATATTTTGTTTAGGACACATTTTCAGTTCAATCCGAATAAAGTATTGATACTTGGTTACATCCCTGATAGAAATATTTATATGTATACACACACACACACACACACAATATATCAGTCTTGGAGTCATGGTGTAACCACAGTGTCAATGGTGCCACCCATAAGCCACTAGCTCCCAGATTACATCAGTGGATGGGGCGGCAGCTGATTGCTATGAGCGTTTGTGCCTGATTCGTTCTGTTTAGTGGATCTGTGCATGACAGTCCCTGTCATGTGAGAAGGGCTGTGAACTGATGTGTTCACTGTAGCATCCAGCCTGTTCTCCAGCTTCACCAAACGGTTCAAGATGTCATCCAATAGCACGGCAATGGTCCTTTTCAGATCAGCTAGGGTATAAGGGGACAAAATATTGAATATAGAAATTAATATTTAAACTCTGGCAAGAAAATTAATTAATTAATCACATCACTGAATTTATGCATCTCTGTTTTGATGTCCTCAGAACAATGACTGATTAATATCAGTTACAAAGTGCAGCTTCACTCACAGCTGCTGGGTTCACATTAAAACTTGTCACACAAACTGGGTAACTCTTTGCTAAACAATCAAAGCACACTGAAGCACAAACCGACATCTCCCTGATAACCTAAACACCTGCCACTAAAAGTAAGGTCTCACCAGTTTTACTTGCACAACTATTTTGCTACCAGTGATGCCCAAGTTCTTTGCCTGGATGCACCCTGCTACTCTAAGCTTACTATACAGGTTGACCTCACAAATATATCAGGTGCAGCAGCAATGCTGGGGTTTTAAAACACTGTGTACACTTACTTGATGCTTTATTAGACACATCTACTTTGTAAGTGTAGTTAGTGAACATAGCTCATAGCTATCCTTTAGCCCTCTAGCAGTGAACAGTTTTAAATAATAGGACTGCTGTTGGGTGAAATTTTATTTGGCTAAAGCACTATTTCTCAATCCAGCAGTGACAGTAATATATTATAGAAATCCCAGAAATTATGCTGTAACTGTTACACTCCTACTGTCACCACTACACCAATTAAACTGCCACTGCAATATCATTCAGTGTCATAGCACTGCTGAGAATGGTCCACCATACAAAAATTATTTGGTCAGTATTGGTGCAACAGTGGTCCCTTTCCATTGACTGTATTTACAGTTACAGTAAATTAACACCGTGTCCAATAGTCCTAACTCCAAAGAAGAACCTTACTCCCATTTTTTGACCAATATACACTCACCATCCACTTTATTAGGAATACCTGTACACCTACACATTCATTCAGTTATCTAATTAGCCAATCATGTGACAGCAGCACAATGCAAAAATAAATAAATAAATAAGTAAATAAGTAAATCACACAGATACAGGTCAAGAGCTTCAGTTAATGTTCACATTAAACATGAGTGGGGGGAAAATGTGATCTCTGTGACTTTAACCGTAGCATGGTCATTTCCTCTGACCTCTTATCAACAAGGCGTTTCCATCCACAGAACTGTCACTCACTCAATGTTTTTTGCACCATTCTGTGTAAACTCTAGAGACTGTTGTGTGTGAAAATCCCAGGAGATAAGCAATACTCAAACCAGCCCTACACGTACCAACATCCATGCCACGGTTAAAGTCACAGAGATCACACTTCTTCTTCATTCTGATGTTTGATGTGAACATTAACTGAAGCTCTTGACCTGTATCTGCATGTTTTGTTGCATTGCGCTGCTGCCACCTGATTGGCTGATTAGGCAACCGCATGAATATGCAAGATTACAAGTGTTCCTAATAAAGTGGACAATGAGTGTATAAATCAGGATTTATGTATACACAAATCCAGCGAGTAAAAACAGTGTAACCTCAGTAAAAAATGCAGAGGTAAAATTATGCTGTAGTACACAAAGCAGGACAGGTGACCTGAAATCTGGAAACACTGTGTACTACAGCACGTTTTCAGCAGATAAAGTATTTAATAAAAAGCCTGAAATGTTGTCATTTCTCACTAACTAATGTGCATTTGCACACTAATCTGGCATATGTTTTTATCTAAGGCAACTCATAAGCCAGTCACAATAAAAGTCACTGCATCTAACAGTGAAGCACCTAAGCCTTACCATATCCAGCCATTGAGGGGTTGTATGGCCTTGCAAGTTCATGGTTCTCCGCGCTGAGAGCTTTGACATAGCGTTGGCTCAGCTCCAGGATCTGTTGGCGGAGTTCGGTGCTGCTTTGGGGCCGTGGCTGTGTAATGGTGTAGTGCAACAGCAGCAGGCACCAGGCCAGGCCAAAGACTAGGAGCAAAACGCTGAGCCTCTGAGACATGCTCCTACCTCGCAGCAGACAGCCAAGCATTGCTGTAGCCCAGCAGCTACGTTGGCTACCACCACCAAGGCCAGTGGAATGGACTGAGATTATAGAATTAAAGATAAGCCTGTAAATGTGTTGTGTGGAGTGGAGCTCCAAGTTGGAGTTCAGGATTAATGGGATGATCGGCAAAAATCAGAATCAGAAAAGCAGGGCATAAAGATGAGGGAAATGGTTGTAGATCAGGGCATGACTACAGATGGTACTAAAGATATCCAAGATAGATCTAAATGTGACCACTGCTGTATCCACCAGGGAAATATCAGGGCATCTGGATGGGGACTAGACTAAATGGCAGCTGGAAGAGTTTGAACCACTCCCAAACTCTGGTATGCCGATCAGTCCTGGGATCTCATACTCAACTTGATCCATTTGACAAATTGCCTAAGAGAGAAACATACATACAAAGCACAATACTTGGCACTAGTATTCAAGCAAAATTCATAAAAAGGTACTGTATAGACTAAATAACGAGTTTCAAGCAAAAAGGACAATATTCAAATTGCAGCAACACACTTAAAATTTTAATTTGCGTACAGACATTGCTGGCTATCATGGAGACAGGTGGTCATCATCTTTTGTGACTGAACTGGTGTTTTAA